TTAGAAAATTTCTTTTTGTCTTTTTCTCCCCCACTGTGAGAGTACCCAAGAGCTGGCCCTGGCTGCCCAGAGAGGTTTTGTGTTCTTGTCATGGTCTAACCCCAGCCAGCAGCCAAACCCCCCACAGCCACTCACTCACTCCCACCAGCAGGATCAGGGAGAGAACTGGAAGGGTAAAACATACTCCTGTGTTGAGATAAAGACAGTTTAACAGGAAAAGCAAAAATTGCACACACAAACACAGCAAACCAAGGAATTCACTGCTTCCCAAGGGCAGGCAGGTTTTCAACCATCTCCAGGAGAGCAAGGTCCCATCACACACAGCAGTTACTTGGGAAGACAAATGCTGTCACTCCAAACGTCCCCCCCTTCTCCTTTCTTTCCTCCATTTTATGTACTGAGCATGATGTCATATGGTCTGGAATATCCCTTTGGTCAGTTTAGGTCACCTGTTCTGGCTGTGTCCTCCCAGTGTCCCATATACTCACAGTTCCCTTGCAGCATGACAGTGTGAAAAGCAGAAAAGTCCTTGGCTCTGTGTAAGACCTGTTCAGCAATAACAAAAACATCCCTTATCAACCCTATATTCAGAAAAATCCAAATCACAGCTCTATATCAGCTACTGGCAAGAAAATTAATTCTACCACAGCCAAAACCACCACAAGTCTTCATTTTGGAAATATTCAAAATCTGTACATGGTTCTGGACAACCAGCTCCAGGTAGCCTTGTTTGAGAAATGGGCTGGATAAGATGACCTTCAGAGGTCCCTTCCAACCTCAAACATTCTCTGACTCTGTGCTCAGTTGTCTCTGCTTGTCTGATGTGAATCCTGTGTGCAAATGCTGTCACAGGAAGTAACTCCCACAGCTGACAGCTACTGAAGCCCAAAGACATTAAAATAGGCTTTCAATGGTGCTGCTTAATGGTGGATTCAGGACTGCAGCTGCCTTGCCTTCATTTCCAAGCGTGGCGAAACCTCTGGAGCACCCACTGCAGTGTTAGTCCCAGTCTCTGCCTTCTTACAGCTCTATCTAGATTTAATGTGCTGTTGATGATACTGGAGTTAGTGATAAAGATAACAGTTGCAGCAGTAGATATCTGCCAAGTGTGTTGTGTGACACTGGAATAAATATACCAGGAGAAGACAAACATCTTTATGGCCCTTGTCTTTGTGCAGGACTCATTGTGAAGGTAAATGAAGAGATGCCACTGAGCTGATATTAAATCAAGAAGGATACAAATCTGAGCTCTCCTGAGTCAATAAAACCTTAGCACTGACTCTGATGGGCTATAGAGTGGCTTCTTGGACATCAGGGGGACACATTTCTGTTTAGATATCTAAAAAAAACAATTGGCTTAGTATTTATTCAAAGACTTATGCTAAAATTGTTTGATGTTCTAGTTTAGTCTAGCTCATATAAATTGCTGATTGAAAATCCTTCTCTGGCTATTTAAAACACCTTGCATCTAATGTGGGGTTTTTTTTTTTTGTTTTTTTTTTGTTTTGTTTTGTTGTTTTGTTTTCCTTCAGCTGCCACTGTCCTCTCTCCTGGGAGTTGTACACCCTTCCCTTAGTTGGAAGTGTATTTTCCTCTTCCTCCTCCAAATTACTTGACTCTTCTCTGGTCTCATGTCCACACAGCATAGTCTCACTTCTGGGAAGGGTAGTTTCAGCTTTTGACAGTCCTCAGCTGTGTGAAGCCAGACTTAAAATGCTTGCAAATTGGGCACTGAAAAAAAAGTCAGGAAGTTCTAGTAGAAGAGGAGAAATGCATCAAGAAAAAAAAAGAAAATAAGCAGAGAAGAGGAGGTAGAGAGAGAAGTGCTTAGGCTTCTTAGAAGTCAGTATGGGTTTGATCTCTTCCCACATGAAAGAGGCAGTAAGGTGTATTTCCCTTGGGGACTTGTGCTCAGCTGCACAAATCTGCAGATTTACAGTGCTGTCAAGTGCATCTGTTATTGTTCTCTTGCTACCTAATCTTCATGAGCAGGGGCACTCCCTCCAAAACTGTTTTGAGTTTGGTCCTTCAGGTGGTGATGTTCTCCTCTGAGACACATTCTATTTGGTTTGCATGTGGAGCCCATAACTGATAATCCTGAATTTCTGACCAATGGTCAATTTCTTACCATTAACAGAGGAAATAATGTGATTTAATTTTTTAAGTGGTTGAAATTGCATGCACTGTTTTGTCTTTCATTTGTAATACCAAGGAAGATGCTGGGACTTGGGTAACTGTGAAGAGAGACTGCTCAAAGATCACCAATGCACAGTGTCCATTGTTCTAGCATGGCTTTAGAAACCTCACCATGAGACTGTGTGAATAACTGGGACTGCAGCAGAGATGAGGAACCTCATTGGTAGTTACCAATCTTTTACTTTATAAGAAGCTGTAAATATGCATCAAGAATTTGAAGAAATCAGTAGTTAACATATTAACAAAGCTGGCCTTCAGAAGCTGCCATACAAAGATGCATTAGGCTTTCTTGGAGCTGGAGAAAGCTAAAAGCACAAGGCTGCTATTAAGGCACTCTTACTGGCTAAAAACATACCTCTTCTAACACCATTACATTTCATTTCATTACTATTTTGATGTTTAATCAAATGGCTAAAAACTAACACCTCTTTTTCCTGAGCTCCATTTCAGTTCTTTGTCCTCCCCTTTGCTGGAGTAGTTGAGACATTTCTTAGGCCTCTATCAATTGAGCAACCCCATCAAGAGACTGGCATAAGATAAAGAAGTAATTCTAAAATATCAAATTCACAAAAGGGTTTTAGCACATTCTAAGTATAAAATGCTTGAATAATCCTTTTGGTACCCTGTTAAATCTCTGCTTTAGAAAAGTACTTAGGGAAGATCTTCTGTTTAGGAAGTGGAGGGATCAGGAGAAGGCACTTTCTGTGTTAGGGGCAAAGTAGGAATATAATGTAAATTATTTCATAGTTAAATGCTGGATAATTTTTGGTGCTCTGCTGCCTAAATTTCACCACCAGTGAATAACACAATATTGCAGTTTTCCTTTCTATCTTATTTTGTAACATCTATGAAGAGAAGAAGAATTTATCTATTGTCTTTCCTGGACATAACCTGGGACTGGCCCTCCTACATGGCTTGTTCTTGCCTTTGGCATTTTTCCCAGAGTCCTTAAGATGCACTTCCATATTTCTGTCATCCAGCCACACCCTGAAGAAAACTTAAAATAGAAGAGTGCTCAAGTGTAAAGGCAGACAGAGCTGGCTGTAAATGCCTCCATTTCTGTAGAGATAATAAATATAGAACGAGAAATGAAAAGCAGAGTGTAGTGAGAACTTTAAAGTTTTCCTGAAAAATGACCTTTTTCCTCCCACAGGAAAATTCAATAGGGGAGAAGAGATGGAGCTGGATAAGTAAAGTGGGTTTGCTGTGGATTATTACATACTAATTACTTTGACAGCTGCTTCTGAAGGAACATCTACATTCAGGGCATATGCAGTCATTCCACTCTGCCTGTCTCTGTAGATCTAATTCTGTCAGACTGAGTTATAATTCAAGATCAATGGGAGGAAGGGAGAAGTCTGTTTCAAGCAAATGGTAGCCCTAGATGATACAAATGTAAGAAAGATCCTTACCAGAGCTATTTAGGAAACTTGGATGAGCACTGTAGATGGGATAAGAATCAGTTATTTAAAGGCTTTTCCACCTCTTGCTCTGCTTTCCTATATGTATACATGAGAATAATACATGACTTAAAAAGAACATTGTTCATATATCAGTGTCACATACCAAGCACCGGAGGAGATTGTCATTTAGTGACTTTGACCAGATTTCTATATAAGTAAATTGAAAATAGATCTTGTTATATCCAAATAATTTTAAGATCAATGAATTCTCTACCTTCTGTATGTTGCTGACTCACGGATTATTTGAGTAATTATGGGCTAAGTCATGAGGTGTGATTAGGTCTGCCATATAGCCAGGTTTTCCGTGTCATGTTGTCCTATTTTCAGACAGAATGAGAGAAATGTGATTAATTATTCATGCTTGTCACAAAGACTTGTCAGAGGTCCTACCCTTCCTTCCCTTCCTCCATATGGGTGCAATCTCTGTGGGGTTGCCTACCACCAGAATGGGGCAGAGTGCCTGTTCCCAAGCCTGCCAGCTCTGCAGAGCCAGTGCTGCTACCACATGCCATCTGGACATGTCAGAGACACCACAGCGGTGCCTTGTGGCTTCTGCACAGAAACCTAGGAGCCCTACAGGCAGCTAGCATCCGTTTTAGTTAGCAATAATTGGGAACCATCAGGGACCACCAAGGTCTCACAGAGTTGACTGCTTTGGCTGTATTTTTGCCTCTGCATGTTTATGTATCTGTGCATATTAAATTCTTCCCATTTTACCTACAAGACGTAGAAAGATCTATCTCAGTCAGATTGACTGGTGATGTAATAGAGATGGAAATAGGGGTTTTATACAACTGGTATGCCTTCATATGTTGCAGACATTCTCACATCCAGAGAGCTCTTAAGGAAGCAATAGGGAGGCTCATTTTACAGCCTAAAGCACCAAGGGAATCTCATGTCTCTACGAATAATATTCTGGAGTTTACTTCTCCTCACTGGTCTTCTAAGTTACTGATTATTTTAAAACTTCAAACTTTTCTAAATAAAAGATTTAAAGTGTTTTCTGACATTTAATTGCTTCCCATGTGCTTGGTGCTGCTGGGAAAAGAAACCCCACTTTTAACATAAACAACTGCCTTTTTAAGGAATTAGTTTTTTCTTTTATTAAAATACAGTATTAAACTGCATATAGGCTAATGCTTTTCTTTTGCCTTTATATCACTCCCTTAGTGCGTATCAGGCTGACCTCAGTTTTGGGAGAATCACTTGGTTAGTTCTAAATATAGCACTGCATCTGCCCTTAAATAGGACTGAAGGGGCAGTAGCCTTTAGAGAGGGGAATTATTTGTTTTCCTCAGGCAGTGTTTGCTAAGCTGGAAAAGGCTGGTCTTCCTCTCTGCTTTGCAGTTTTTCTATATCTTTTGGTAAGTCCATTTTCTATCCATGTTTTTCTTGTACAGAACAATGAGAGTGCTTGTAGGAGGAGGTTGGGTGCTTCCCTGTAGAAAAAAACAACTTTCCTCAGGGAAAACAAGCAGTAAGTAGGACACAAATTGATTAATGAAGAGAAAAGCAAAACAAAAACATAAAGTAAGGTTGTTTCGTCCTGTGCATAGTTTCCTTTATTGTGTGTTACATTTCCTCTGTTTCTTTCTGCATATAAAGAACTACATTAAAGAAATCTATAGCTTTATTTGTATGTCTGCTTCTCCAGTTACACAAATATTAGCAATGCCACTTTCTTGTGAGCTTATACCATACGATTTTTCTGAAGTCTGTGTGTAAATAATTAAGCATAAAACCATACAGTAGCTGGAGAAACTATTTGGCCTGTTGAAGAATGGGATGTAGCTAGGTCAAAAAACAATCTGCTTTTATTTTCTGTCTGTCATGCTTTCAAGTGCGCATTTCCAGAAGCTGTGTTTCTGGTGTCTGTGTTGCTCTAAGCTAAGTGATATGTTCTGTGCCACATGAAAATTCCTGCTAAATACCACTGATAGAGTCTTGGGAAATCAAGTTCATGCTCTTGAAATTATGCATGTGTGTTGATAATGCCTATGAGCTAATAAAAGTACCATAATGAAGGATAATGATTGTTGGGATGATGGGAAATGATTTTTATCATCTCACTGTCCAACATTTTTAGCTGTCCCATTGAAGGGAGATAATACACTTGCCAAGTGAAGAGAAGACTTCAAACTTTATCAGAACCTGTTTGAACTCTGTGTGTTTGGGATGTTAGAGTGGCAAGGATTCAAGTCAATATGGGCAAATTTAGCCTCATTTAATTCCCAGTCTTGTATGATCATGAATTCATAAGGTAACATCCACATTAGTACCCTGTCTGGGATGTGTACTGTTCAGCTTCTATCAGAGACATGGAAAGAAAGTCAGTTTGGAAGCTTCCACTCCTTTCCTTCATGAGAGTCACAGAAAATGCAAAGTTACATTATTTTATAGACTCACTAGAATACAGGAACTGGTGCTTCCCTCCATGACAATTACCTTGCTGGAGGGAAGGGTACCCATGACTCTGCCTGCTGCTCACCTCTACAGAGCAAAGGTTCTGACTTGTGGATAGGACTGTGACCACCCATTATATATTTCAAATTACCTCCACACTAACTGTTCTGGCCAGAGTGTGAAGCAAGCCATCTGGGGACTATTACAAAGTGAAGGGGCTCATTCTAACTAACCATAGATGTGCTGTAGCCAAATGATTGCATTAAATTGCTGTATCTACCTGTATGTCATTGAAAATATATGAAATTAATAAAAATGATAGGCAGATTTGTGATGGCTGGCACTGTCAGCTGCTTGAAAATGTTGCTTTGCTGGATATTCAGATATGTAGAAATAGAGAACTCAGTTTTTAAAAAAAAATTTTAAATTTTAAATTATGTTTAATAAAAAAAGTAATGTATGCATTGTGGGGGATTATTTGACTCTGTTTAAAATCAATTGGTGAATTGAGGAAAATACTATTTTCATGAAAAGGAGGTATGATCAGTAAACATATAACCAATTAATATGTAGCTAAAAAAATCAAAGAGAAAAACACAAAAGGTGTTCAAACTTGCTGAATGATGTCTGGAATTCAGCAGAGTAAGCAAGTGGGAATTCCATATAATTTTTTATTTTTTAAATGATGAGAATTTGTGTTCTGTTATCAAAAAAGCTAGAACTGAATTCTTATGCAGTTTGAACAAGATTGTCATTGGAAAGACTGAAACATCTTAAAATGACAGTATATTTGAGAAGGTTTTTTTATTCACAAAACATAATTTTCTGTGGAACATCAAAATATACACATGTGTACAGAGAAAAAAGACTGGAGAGACATATTAGAAATTCTGTCAAATCAGTTTTTTATCAAATTAGTTTCTTGTCAAAATGGAGAAGAATTAACCAGATCCTCTACATCCCATTCTCTTTAGACTGCAAGTGTCTAGAACTGCATAATGACTCAAGGTGGTTTTACAAGATTTCCACCAAAGGCAGTTTTTGGGAGAAAATGATAATATGCTATTAAGTCTACAATCTCTACAGCATGCATATAACCATTTGGAAAGGATCACATATTTTTTGAGGCAATATGGGAATTTTTTATACTGGTCATCAGGAGCAACCAATTAATAGAAGGTGGCATTTTATTCTCTTTCATTGTTATATGCAGGTGATATGGATTTAAATATATTTTATCAATTAAATATCAGTGTATTTTATGCACCATAAAAGTAAAAGTTGGCAGCTTCCTGAAAACACTTCACTTTGAACAATGTAGAGAACAGCTAGCAGAACAAGAGACAGAGAAAAAATGCCTAAGTTGTGGGAAAACAGAACAAGCCCTCAAATAAATGCAAATGGTCAAAGAAATTTCTGGAAACTTGTGAATAACTTTTGGCACTTCTGCAGAATGCCAGGAACAGAGATGAGCAGAGAAGTGCATGTTGCATGGTACAGCACTGGCAGGTCAGGCTGAGAAAATACATACTGTACAGTGCATCGCTCATGACACGAGCCTTGTGAATCTGGGAATGCAAGTTGTCTATCTATGGCGAGTGCAGCCATGTTCTTCTTACCATGGCATTTGTCAAGCCATCCATCAATTTAGTTGGTTGTGTGCCTGCTCTCTGAGGCAATGTAAATGATCATGCTAGAATTTACTGCTTGTCCTTTAAATCTTAAATTAACTCACTTATCAGACTAACAATGTTTATATCAGACCCTTGGCTTCTCTGCTCAAGAATGTGGCCCCATGTCACGTGGTCCTAGATGATGGCTTTCTATTCAGATCAGTATTACTGTGCCACAAAACTATGCATATCCTGACCTGGGAGCTTGGCCTTTTACTCACGGTCAAGTAAAAGTTGTTATATACATGGTACAAAACATGAAGAAATACAAGTTTATGTTGAATAGTCTAATTCACCTATGGTTTGTGCCATTAGTCCTTAAGGACATTTTGGCTCAGGTAATATTTTTCTTTATGTTTAACAGTCTTGTGAGTGGTTTATACAGCACATAGATTATTACACTTTAGGTCCTTTTGATGTCCTCAGCATTTACAGTCATAGAAACAAATAGGAAAAATAATAATAATAAAAAGAGAGGAGTACAATGGTGCTGTATTGCACTAACCATGCAAAGGTCAGATGAGACACCAAATGTTTTAGGATCAGTCTTCTTCCTGTAATTCTAGGCCTTTTTCTTGAAATTCAGGACTGTTCATAGGATGTGCATGGATGTAACTCCAGGGTTGTTTATGACACAAAGGTGATGTATTTCAGCAAGGCCTCCAAAATTCTTGCAGTGGAACTTGGTAAATAAAACTTGAGATTTACTTTTTTAATTAGTTATAATTAGTCAGATAATTAATTTGTCTTTTTCTGGATTTAAGCTTTGTTATTGTTGTTGTTATTGGACTCTCAGTTTTCCACTGGGATTTTTTTCCCCCCAGTTTCTCTGCCAGACCACTTCCTTCATCTTATTTTTGAGTCAGTTCTACCAATTCACTTACCAGTGTAACTAGGTCTCCAGACACTGTCATTAATAAAAATTTTGCACTGGGGTTAAGCTGTCATCAGCATATCACGTTCTCTAACTTTCTTAGTGGAAGGTTGTCTAAATATTAGAATATATTTCAAACATCTCATATAAATGTTGTATCAGTGGAAAACTGGTAAAACTGTCAACATATTGTTCCTAGGAATACAGTATAAACTTCTTTTATCAGGAGCTCAATACCCTATATGCTGCTTTTACCGTGGGACTTTGCTTTTGCTCTTCTGATACTTGTCTTTTCAGCCCTATTAAGTATTAAATACATACTGTGCAAACGTTTTTGTAATTAACTGGTGATTATTATTACATTTGGAATTGTTGCCAGGCAGCTCCCCTCTGTGTTAACAGAAGGCAAAGTGAGCCCGGCTGCTAACAAGCTCAGTGAATTTCTTGTATGAAGGCTGTGAGAGGATGGCTACATTTGTTTCTATACTAAAGGTGTTTGGGTAATGTGAAAAATATATGAACCCAAATTTGAGGAGTCCTGGGTGCTGACAAATAGAAGAAGATACGCTAGTTAAAACGTAAGTTTTACATTTAGTGAAAAAAGCTGGACTGTAAATAGCAATGGTGTTTTCTCCTCTCTCAAAAATGAAAATAACTTAGACTCAACCATCCAGATAAATGGGAATTTCTCTACAATCCTTATAAAGTGGATCTCAGTGTGAATTATATACATAGCAAAATTTACACTGCATGTTGATAAATTCACAGAATTATTTAACATCGCCACATGTAAACCTGAGTAGTGCTGAACAGTGGAGTGAGCTTAATCTGTATCTGTCTTTTGTACCTTCATTTAGGCAAAAAGAGCTAATTAAAAATAGGAAAAAAAGTAAAATCATACCATTAATTGTCCAGTTAACATATGAACTAATGTGGAAATCCAGTGTCCTATACACAATAGTCACAGTTAGCAGGAGGAAAGCCAGATGTCTGCAGATGTAGCATTACATCATGTACAGATATCAAAACTAGGAGAAGCCAAGGCTGCTCGTGGGTCTGTGCAACTCTACTCATGTAACCAAGACATTGTGTCATATGATGAGTTAATAGGTCCATGAGGGATCCATGTCAGCTCAGCATTGTATGAGGGCATCTTACTAAGCCAGCATCTCTGTGAGGTGCTGAACTAACTTGGGCCATGCTAACTTTCTTATTTCTATAGAAATGTGGCAATATATTTCTTTAATGTCCCCTAGTAATGCTGTAAAACTGTTTAATTTTTGTTTTGCAGTGTCTTGTGCTTTGCCTAAAGTTCTCATTACTGAACCTGTGACTTGTCATTCTCATATCTCTTGAGAAAGAGCAGAAAAGGTAACTCTAAGTTATGCAGAAGATGCAGTTATGAGGTGATAAATTGTAAAAATCTCTTCAGATCTCTGAACATTTTAAAATAGGATGTGACTTCTATTAAATATATGCACTGTTTGCTCCTTAATTTTTCTTGGAAAAGTAAAAGTAGCTGATATGAGAACATCATAATTTGGGAGCAGCTCACTCTGCCCTTGATTATCTACAAGTAAGAATCAGACACAGTTACAGTTTTTCACTCTACTTCACCAATGACTAGCATTTCAATTTTTTTTAATAAATACTATATGCTGGAAAGATGGTGTATACTGTCATTTTAACTTGTTAAGTGCTTTTTCTAAATGAATTTATAAGACTTCTATTCAAATCCCTTTGAGTTTTCATTTGGTATACATCATGAAGCTGCTTATATATGTGACTTTTTGTTACAAATTTGGACTTTTGGTGTGGGTCTGAGGCAGGTTCTTCTTGGCATGGTTTGTCGTTCTGATTGGGAACGGCTAGAAAGAACGACGTGAACTCTCAAGGGAGTTTCAACACAAGAATTCTCTAGTTTATTGCTCTAGGCTTGTTTTATAGACAGATACGTGGAAAGTACAGAAAAGAAACTCCTATTGGTTAAGCAAAGTGCTACATCACCATCATTGGTCAGGGGCACACAACCCCCCTGACTCTCTCCTGCAAGAGAAAACAAGAGGACTGCAAAACAACACCTGCAAGGCTGTTTAGTGTCCCTGAGAATTGTTTTAATTCCTTCTCATATTTTTCCCAGGCTACTTTCTCAGGCAGCCTGAGGAGCCATGCGGCCTGTAATTTGTACAGGCACTGTGGTTCAGATTTAGCATCCATAATGGTCCATGTCCAGACAGGTCCAGGCAGTGGGATGCTGGAGACTGGATCTGCTGTGTCATTTCTGGGGTGGAAACTAATGTTCCTGGGGACTGACATAGGGTCCTGGGCTATGGGCAGGGTAGGAGGAACTCTGGGGGAGGCTGGGCTGGGACAGTCAGGTCCATTGCTGTCCTTAGGACCATGACACTCCTAATGTGTTCCCTGGATGAGCTGTGTTGCTTCACATGCCATGGGTGCCCTGAGGTGGATCCCAGGCCGTACCTCAGCCTGTGCCCTGGGTGCTGGCATGGAGCTGGCAGCCTGCACCGTACGGGGAGCGTGACAACAGGGATGCTCCCCTCAGCTTTTAGCAGAGTATTGGATGTTACTGCAGTAAATTACCTGACTAAATCTTCATCTGCTTTAAACACTTGTATTGTGAGCTTACTTCTGTTGTCACTGAAGTGTAGGTGCCTTGTGGGGGAGGTTTTGGCTGTTCATTTGTGATCCCTCACCAGTGTTTGGGATAAATGGTGCAGGAGTAGAGAACCCCATACCTAACTGAGACTGCAGTTATACAAGATGGCACCTACTTACAACATGGCTTATGATATTCCTCACTTTTCCAAGAAGTTGTCATCATATTTCTAATGAGCACAAAGGCATGCAGACACCTCTGTGTTCTTTTAATTGATATGGTTGGTAATCTGCTTAACTCCAACTCAGTGGGAAACATGCTCTATCCCCCCCACTCCTTCAGGAGCACCCTGAATGTTTCTTAAAACCTTCTATCCAAATATTGATCAAAAACTATGCCATGCTTTGGAAAAAGTGTGCAAGAAGGAAACCAGAATGATTGATAGTCCTGAAAAAAACCCACAAGGAAAGATTGCATGAGCCAGCTTTGTTGAGTTTAAACAAGACTGCAGGAAAGAAAATAAAGAAAATCTTCAACAGGCTCACAAAAGTGAGCAAATACTATTTGTTGTCATGGTGAATTGGACAAAACATAGGGAGCATAAATTGCCAAAATGGAAAAAGTGAAAGGTTTGAAGAGCAGAGAGCTGAAATGACGAACAATGGCCAAAAACCTGTCAAATTTTCATCCCTGGAAATTTCTCTGGAGGCATTAAATGACATCTGCAAAGAAGGGGAAAAATGATCTAGGGAAATATCTTTTACACTATCATCTATGATTCCATAGCTCACACTGTATGACTGATAAGACACAGCCTGAGGTACCCACGTGTGTGGCTGATAGCTCTATTTGTCACAAATTGGTGCAATTTTATACATTTGGACATGTTCACACACATGTCTACATATCAAAAAATATCAAACCAAAGTGTCTGAAATATATAGCTAAATGTGTGCATGGATAAATATATGGCTAACTTCACTCTCTGCAGGAATTACTGGTTGTCACAGAGGAATTATGTCTTCAGTAGCAGTGCCATTTTACCAGAGGAGGCACAAGCACTTTGATCAGTCCTATCGCAACATTCAAACAAGATATGTACTTGAGGAATATGCAGCAAGAAAGTAAGTGACATGGTTTGGGTAGTCAGTTCTTAAAAACAAGAAACTTACCTTTCCTCTCAACCCCAAAAAAGTGTGATTTCTACAGAATGACAGTTTTGCACTTCATTCCATTGGCATGCTCCTTTGGCTATAGTCTCTCACCAGCATAGCTAAACTTCCTAGCAGCATTGCAAGATACCTACACATACCTTTTAGCTTAGGATCTGTCTTGTTTGGTACCTCTGAATTGAAAATTCTTCCTTGTAGGCTAAAATTGAAACTCTGACTTATGAAAAATTACTATGAAATTTATTTTAAGTCACAGAAACAGATTTTTACCCATTCTTCCATATGACATAATGATGTTTCTTCTCCTGAAGTTGGCTATAACTATAGTTTTGTAATTTGATTTCCTTTTTTTAAACTTAAATGAAAGCTCAATGCTTCTCATTTGAAATCTCAGAATTTTAATCAGAAAATACACATTCTTTGTATGGTTGGTTGTGTGCCTGCTTTCTGAGGCAATGTAAATTATTGTGAAACTTTGTAATGTGATTGCTTAAGAATCACTTTTCTCCCTACTTGGTAATTAACATGCCTACCTAGCTGGTCCAGATTCCCTTATGAAAGAGGACAGTTGCAGAAAGTGAAATATAGAAAAGCTTACTTAGAAATAGACATTGCTGTGGGGAATCTTCATGGTTTGTGTGTTAGACAGGCCAGTACTCTTGGGGTTCTCTGAAATGCTATCATTACACCTGAATGATTGAAGGCTGAAATAAATATAAATTTAATAGAATGAAATAAAACATCTAATGATCCCCTGTGACAGATGATAGGCATTAAGCCCTTGAAGGACAAGTGCAGTCAATGAAGATGCAAAGGTTTCTCACTGAAAAGTGCTCAGTCGTGGTGTTCAGCTCAATCAGCTCAAAGTAATTTCTTTGACGTTTGTGAGTTCATGTTTTACCTGAATTGCTGGGTTATAACAATGTCTCTTATATTTGAAGGGCTGCTTCCAGGCAGGCTGCTTATTATGAATCGTCTGGCTTGGGCAAAACAACGTGTAGGCTTTGTGCCAGGAGGGCACGCACCTTGGCGCATGAAGCAATGCAGGAATCCAGGAAAAGGTAAAGCTCTGTTGGTCCAGTCTGACCTGTGTAGTGGCTCTGGTCCCAACTCTTTTGCCAGGGCTCTTTTCAGAGTTGACAAGACTGGAGGCTTCTCTGTCACTGTTCTTCACTAATCTATTTTGGCTGGAACACTAAATGACTGAGTGTCACTTTCAGTCTCATATTTCAACCCAGAGTTGTTCCCCTGATCGCCACTCTGACCCTTGAAAACAGCTTTAAAACAAAAATAAATTAGAATCCACCTGGTACCCAGAACTCATTCTGGACAGAACCGCTCCACTATTCCTAAATTTCTAATTTACATAAATTTAAACATTTTAAATTCTTTCCTGAATATCAAAAGCAATATTACTGTCATGTCTTAGTTGCCACCTTGATGAGAAGTCCCAGAGTAACTGTGCTGATGACAATATTCCCCTTCATGAATTTCACTGTTTCTGCTCTGCTTTGCTCTACAGTTACTGCTCTAAAGACATGGAGGATTTATATTAAAGGAAGGAATTCTGTCTTGTTTGTAGAAAATATGTTGTGCAAATCATATACATCCATTTGGTTCTGGTAATTGGATTGATTTGAAATATATAACCTCAGAACAGAAATCTCTAGGAAAATAAAATAATTTTGTTTAATTTAGGTTTTAAAAACTGTTTTTTATTTCAGCAATATCAGAAAAAGGCAAGACATGGCTGGTATTTAAAGTACCTTGAAATGTACTTTATGAAGTTTGAAGAATGAAATTGTTTTTAAGCATCACACAAAAAATATCTCGATTTGCTAAATTTCATGGAAGTTTTCTTATTTGGGTTATGCTTTCAGATTCTTGCCATGTGTTGACTATATTGACAGACATGTTAGAAATATCTGATATTCAATAATACCTTCTTGTGTCCTGGGAAGGAAAAGAGTAGCATAGGCTGTTTACTGAATCAGCATGAATGAAGGAAACCGAGCTAGCTCCTCCTAAAAACATTCATGAGTTAGGGTATTTTTAGGAATTATGAAAAATGTATGGATTTAGGTCTTCAGGGAGCAACTCATAAATTTGTCAAAACTTTATATATTCCTGTTAGTTTCTATAATATTTCCTGCTCATACTTGTCAAGGGACAGCTTTTTTTTTTTGCATGCAACTATTCATCAAATCCTTGTGAACTCCTTGGTCTGTATCTTTCAGGTCAGGAGATACAGCCCATGGAGCTGCAACAGCTCCGAGTTTCTAAAGCTTCTAAAGCTAAAGGTGCTATGTAAGCAAGGCACAATTTTTAAGAGGCTGTGAACAGGCACAGAACTTGGTGTCACTCATCTGCCTTCTTGTGTCCATGGAAATGAAAATCATGGGCCAGAAGGAGGGTCAGGCAGGTTCTTGATCTTGGTTACCAAAGGACAGTGGGGAACCATGTCCATGCAACCACAGCAGAAGTCAAGACTTAGAGCTATGGTCCCATAAATACAGGGGGAAAGAATATGAAGAAAATTCACAGGATCTCACATACTCAGGGTACACAGATAGATGCTAAGAATGATTCCTAACCTAAATTTTACATCCTACTGGTATGGTCTCAGAGCGTTTTGTTGCCTGATGTGTATGATGTGTATGAGTGTATGATGTGTATGATGTGTATGAGTGACAAACTTAAAGCTTCACAATGGTTACCTGATTTATTTTCTTGTCCCACAGGAGTCATGAGCAAAAGTCTCATGTAAGTGATGAGAAAAGAATCCGTTTTGCCAGTGAGTTGTCTGCTTTGGAAAAAGAGATTCACACAGCCAGGCACCGTGCTCGAGAGCATCTGGATAAACTTGCTGTGCAAAGAATGGTACCGGCAGAATCTTTTTGCAAAAATTTTTCCTATGTAAAAATAATTACAAGATATATTGAAATTTAGGCCTGTGTTTCAAATATGAGTAGTTATTAAGAATCTTTTTGTGAATTTAGAGTTAGATCTTCTACCCTGTTTGAGGCTGGTGACAGATGCTTCTTTTCTTTTCCCATATTTAACAGGTAGAAGAAAATATGGCTCTGGAAAGACATATCACTGAAGAAAGAATAAGTCGAGCCCCTGAAATTCTAGTGCGCCTGAGGTCTCACACTGTCTGGGAAAAGATGTCTGTGAGCCTTTGCTTTACTGTACAAGGATTTCCAACCCCTGTTGTACAATGGTAAGAGACTGGCCTTTCACAGTCCTCTAAAAATGTTGTTAAGCTTTTTTCATTTGAAAGTTATGCCATAGCTGATAAGTGTCATGCATATAATGGCTTTGTTAAATCCCCTTTATAATCCTCCTAGATGTGCTGGATCGTAGCAGTTGATACTGCAGTGGAAGGAGTGGGAGGAAAACTTGCTGAGTGGCCCCGTGCAATGTGAGAAGCAAACTCAAGCATTTCAGAAGGCTGACAGTGGAAGGCATTCCAGTCTTTCTGGACATTGAGTTTCCTGTACACAAAGTAGCAAATGGCAAAATACACAGAACTCACAGGCTGCTTTCTAAGCCTGGATAGATATGCGCAGCACCACTGTTGTAATGGGCTGTATCTGTGGTCACATTGTGTTAGCTTCTGTTGAGGAGGACATAAAGGTCCTTGCAGCTGCCCTCCTCTCTGGGCAGGTGCTGTCCTGTATATATGAAAACCTCAGGCTGCACCATAAAGACCTAACACAAGACATAATTCTGTTGCTGCTCCCCATTTTTGTGCTGAAGCATTTTACTGTGGTGCAAGATAAAGTTTGCTTCCCATCATGTGTCAGGACTAGTGGACTTGAAAGTTCAAGCCCCATGCCATCCCCTCTACATTTTTTCCTCATCTTCTCAACTGAGTGCACATCTCTTTCCACTTCCTTGCTGCTACGATGGTCCTGCTTTGCCTTCATGGCCCAGTATGTACCTATCCATACATACTGGAAAATACTCCTTGCAAGGAGTGAGAGTTCAGAAAATAGTAAATGATATCTTGAAATGAATAAATAGTTGCTGATATTTATGAGTTTTATTGTTTTCTTGATTGTCAGGTACAAAAATGAGGAATTGATTTTTCCTGCAAGTGATCCAACAAAGTATAGAATTGAAAGCAAATATGGAGTACATGTGTTACATATAAACAGGTAAATCTTTCTGGAGAATACAACAGATTTTTTATACCCTATACAAAGTATTTTATATCAAATACAATTAAAAATTCACACAAACACTGAATCATTAAATTCAACATACTTTTCTGTTGGTATTCACTTTTAGGCTGGAGAAGGTTCACTGAGTACTAGATTATATTAGATTTATTAGATATTATTAGATATATTAGATGTATTAGACATATTAGATTATATTAATATTATATTATGAAAATGAAATTATAAATTAAATATTTTTATTCATTAACTTCAGCAATCTACAAGATATAATAAGAAGAGGCAAGTAGCTGAAAAAATAAATTCCTTTATTTATTAGAATTATGTCTTCTCAGCATTTGAAGTGGAAGATTTTATGTTCTTGTCATGATGAAACTCTTTTAGGTAAACAAAATTATAGCTGGACAGGGCAGGGATACATAGCTGTATTTGTTTTACTATATGGTAGGTTCTGCTTACTTTTTCATCTCCTTTTTTTTTTTTACTTCCAAAAAGTAAGGAAGTGTAAATTACTTTTTTAAAGGTTCTAATTTATTCAATTTTATTTTTTCAAAATGTTAACTTTGTGATATAGAACATGCTTGGTATAACAGCTTCCCATAAACTAATCCCATGCTTTCTGAAACAAATGAAAGGTTACATGACTGCGTGACTTGATGTAAGCTTTTTAAAAAATAGAAAAACCCAAATAAAAGTGATGACTGCAGTATTTAAAAAGAAAATTAATGTCTAGAACAGAGACCCAAACCTTTTTAATTTCTCTAGAACATGAGCATCAGCTGTGCTGAAACAGCTGGAATATTTGTGGCTAACACTTGGCTGGCCAAACATTTAATCTTCTATCCTGTCTCCATCTGTCAGCAGTGGAAGCAGCCCTGAGCACAGCCTTGTGGCATGAGTACAGAAAATAAGTGCATCATTCCTTCTGCTTTTGGGAAAAACTTCTTGCCTTTGTCATCCTGCAGCCAAGTCCAGCCCAGCTGTCAACCTTTTCATAGCTCAGGATGGGAGAAACATATCCCTGTAGAGAGAACCTGGCAGCAAGAATCACCAGGTTGTTGCTTCCTAAAATGCTTCAAAGGCACCCAGTCTTCTACCCCCAGGCCATGGATAACTTATTAACTGCTCTCTGTATCCATGAAACCTGTCCATACTGCTGTTTCTTCCCACCAACATTACTTTTGAAGACAATAACAGGAGGTTAAAACATAAAATCAGCTTGTCCTTTTGCATTCCTCTCCCTTTTAGCAGGGAAATGGAAAACTCTCTCCTTTGTCTGGATATGTGTGAGTGCCAGTCAGGAGATGAAACTTTGGTCACTTCCTGATGGTGAGTGATTGTGACTATTTCCCTTGGCTAGCCACTCCTGAGGAACTGCTTGGTCAGTCCAGATGCCAGTTTGTAGTATGGAGGTTCCCTTGTGACATTTTGGGAGTAAATATCTTATTAGGAGAAATGAAAATCAGTGCTGATGCTGCTTTCTGAGCACGTGTAACCATCAGGCTGAAGGGTAATAATGGCTTACATGCCCCTGGTGCTTTTTATCTCTTTTCTCTGTGGTTATCAGCCATGTAGGCATAAACAGCTTTGGGAATTTAAGACCCAGCCGTATTTCAGGCAAGTTCAGACATATCACAGAGTCATTTATTAGCACCCACTCGGGTTTCCCCATCCCGTGTCTGCTAGTCCCAGACCTGTATGTACTCATGCAGACTCCCTCACATTCAGCCAAGCTGCCATCTTCAGAGACTCTTTCTCCATTTCTCTTTCATTCTGTCTGGCAGTGTGGTCTTTATTGTCACCTAAAGATTTCTGGCTGCTCTCCCACAGATTTCCCTTCTACACTTAAAATATTACTGGGGTTTATTAAATTAGAATTTCTAATTTAAATATTTTTTCTTTATTACTAATCCATTTTATTTCAAAACTTGATCATCAGCTGTATTTTATGTCCTAAAAAGCAGAAAATGGACACACAGGAAATGGAAGAACATTTTGCTAGTGTATAATTAACATTAAGTGTATCTTGTATTGAAAGAAATGGATATCAAGATAATGGTTAAATTATGTAAATGATTAATGTTTTTATACAAATATGTCAATTAATTCTGTATCTTCCATTAATATCTTTGTGAAGTTATATTTTGTATTTTATGAATAATTTGTTCTTCTGGGAGGTGAAGCCGCCGGGAGTTCCTATCCACTTTTTCTCTTGTGCTCTTCTCAGCTGTTCATATTAAAGTGCTGAGCTGAATGTAATCCTATCCACAGCCGCTCAGAACGGCCTTGGAATTTCTTGGCTACTTTTCTAGCACTTCAGCGAAGCCCAGGGAGTGAACTTTTTCCTTCTGATGCAAGTGTGATATTTATTCCCGTGAGTATTCCCTGATCCCAGTGGAAACATTCTTGAGGCAACGAAACCTTGCCATCACCTTGTTGTCTTAAAGTAGTAACTGGACACAATTTCATCCCCCACTGTTTGCTGCTCTCCAGAACCCATAAGCCTACACAGTAATGAGATAATTTTAATTTCCCTGTCTCATATTGTTTATGATGCAACGTTCTCAATTACCACATTTTCTGTGTGCATTCAGTGCTAATATGATCATATAGTGTCTTTTCCTTGCTCCTTTTAAATTCCTTCAAATGAGAGTTTGAGTTCAAGATCTCCCTTGAGCAGTAAAGAAAAGGAGTTTGGAGTTCAAGTCTATTTTTTGCACATCTTATAATTATAGTAGAAGTGATATGCACTGGGGTAGTGGTTCATCCCATCCTTCAACTCTCATCTGATAGGTTATTAGGAGGAGACTGTGAGGAATCCTTGGAGGAAAAGCTCAAGGTAGTTGAAATGAATCATACGTGTCTGAGAATGTGAGGGTTTATTTAAAATGTATTTTTTATCCCACATAATTTAACTGTGGATAGGCACATATTACAAGAAAAGATTTCTGTATCAGTGGTAGTCAAAATGAGGCCGGTCCAGCTGCAGAGTATTTTCCATTTTAGTGAGTATCTCAGTAATTAACAGCTGTAACATTTTTAACTTCTTAGTTGCTATTACTTGTTTAGCAACAGAGTTGGCCTTTTTTGTTTGTTTATTGTGATGACTTATTAAGTGGATAAATTGGTTTTATTCAGCTGTGGTTGCCTGTAATATTCCCGGCTACGTTGGCTGGTGCGTGGAGGAGGCAGCAGGATATAATCCTGCCTGGGTTATTGCTGATCCCAGCCCTCAGTGAGCGAGAGGCTGAGCTGGGCTGGACTGGACTGGACTGAGCTGAGCTGAGCTGAGCTGGGCTGGGCTGAGCTGGGCTGGGCTGAGCTGAGCTGGGCTGGGCTGGGCTGGGCTGGGCT